GTAATCTCGGAAATCACTGGTTCTAAGTTTTCTACCTTCTTCAGGTGTATGCAGGTGGCCACAAGAAAATACCCTGTGTTACAGTCTGGTGAATGTGGCTGGCACCCAATACAGCGATCTAGCAGATTCCACCTGTCCCTGCACCACAACTGCCAGGGCTGACATGGAGATGGCCTCAGTTTTCTTAGTGCACTGGCTAGGGGAGCCCCAGGGTGTCTTGTTACACCTGCAGGCCTTCCATAGCAGGGGCCTGTGTCACTGCTGAAACCTGTGTCACAGCTCGGCAGAAGTCTGCCACAAGGGAGACCATTCCGGCTTCCTCTCACATTATCAGCTCACAATGATGGAGGGACAGGGCGACTGGGTCTCCTCCTGGGCAGGTGGCACTGGAAGCTCAGCTCTGAGTTGCCGCTTCTAAAAATCTGGAGCTTTCTGCACCTAAACAAGGAGCTGGCGGATGTCAAGAAAGAGGTGCACTACCCATTTCAGAGTGGGGAAGAGTCCAGGGAAGTCACTGGGGTGGCAGCAGGGAGGCGCTGTCCTCACACTCACATCCCCTCCTGGTTCCCAAGCTCCCTCTCACCACTGTGACCTCATTGTCCCCTCTAGGGTGAAATGAGGGAGACACGTTACCATGGCTCTTCCTGCAAGTGACACCATGGAGATATTGCTGCCAGTTTTCTTTAAATGGAAAGTCACATTAGGCAGAGGCACTTTTGAGCCTATAAGATTAAGCTAAGTGTGCACATTACTTTTGTCAAAATCTAATGGGAAAAGCCTGCTCCTGTGCTGGTATCAGACAAGGTTCTCTCATACACACGTAAATATACATACACACATATACATATGGATACATATATATGTGACTCAGTTTATGTACATACTTAGCACTGAATGTAATTTCCCACCCACTGATTTCTAAACCTTTATTGTCTGCTACACATTAAAAACAAGTAATAGGGAAACACGCTAATCTCTATAAAAAAAAAATCTGAGACAACCAACCAAAAAAAGAAGGTAGGTTTATTTTGGCTCATACTTTGGGGGCTGAGGTCCATGAGAGCCCTGTTGCTCTTGGGGCTGGGGTACAGGGTGGGGCAGCACATCATGGGGGGTGGTTTGGAGGAGGAAGCCTGGGCACCTCATGGCTGGGACGAGAGGGGTGGGGGGTGGACCTCAGGATCCCTTTCACAGGCATTCTCTCTCAGTAGCAAAGATCTCCCCCCTAGGCCCCACCTCTTAAAGGTTCCAACACCTCTCAATAGCAGCAGGCTGAGAAACCACCTTCTAGCACATAGCCTTGGGGAGACATTTATCTAAACCACTACCTTGTTTACATAAGCACTCTTCTAGTTGTTATTACAGTACCTGATCAGATGAGATGATCCACAGCCACAAAAATAGAGCTCTCTATAGATATGTAGAAAGCTCTTTTGTAGCCCTCCATTTCCATCCCCTTCCCCTACCTTCTTTGCTCATACCCCTCTCTGCATTATTTCATCCTCACCTAACAGAATTAGGGGTAAATGTCCAAGACACTGGCAGGCCATTTAGAGTTTCAGAAATATAAGTAGAGAGATGCAGAAAGGAGAATTTACCAACTTCTAGACCTTGACTTTCTAAGGGCAAGGACTAGGTCCCCTTTTCTTTCCAAAGCTAAGGCCTTGACACAGTGCCTCAATCATGCTGGATAGGTACACGCTAAATACTTGCTATAGAGCTTAAGTCCATGGTGTGCTAATATCATATCCTATGTGAATTGCTGAGTGCTTAGCATTTGCTGACTGGGTTTTTCTGATCCCTGTCCTACTGAAAGGCACAAAATTAGAGATCAATTCAAGGGTCTAAAGAGTAAATAAAGTGTGAAGTGGGACACAGGCCATGGCATAAATAAGCAAAAGCTGATGTTCTTTGACTTGTATCGATCTCTTCAGTGAGGACTAACCACAGAAGGCTGAGATTTCCTTTAAGCACTGAATGGGTCCCCCCTGGGAGCTGCAAAGTGCACTAGTAGAAAGGCTCCCACTTTCACCATTTAAAACGTGCTGTTTTTTAGCGTGGTTTCCATGTCCTGTTGTTTTTTTCCTTTCAACCAGCTATCTCTTCATTCCATTCTAGATTTGCTTGGAACAACTTCGGGTGGTGGGTGGGACTCGCAGTGAGTTTGTAAGTGTTTCATCTCCCCTGGAGGTAATAGATGACATGCTTTCATCAGCCAGCCCACTGAGAGGATCATGGGCCCAGAGTCACTTGGTAAATATTGGGCCACAACACCGCATGAGCTCTTTTCATTAAGCAACTCTGAACTACAGTCCTGACCTGAACCTGCTGAGTTGTGGGGATGTCTCAAGGCATGCATGTTCTGCAGACCCCAGAAATGATGTGGTGAGACAGTGCTTTGCAGCAGGTGCTGGCTGCTGTTGTCCAAGGTCAGAACCTCAAAGTATCCACTTCTGTAAGTCCATGTGCTCAGGTCAATGAAAGGTAGCCCCCACAGGATGCCTATGGAGCCCCACCGCATTTTATGGGCACTAAACATCGGCACCTGGGAATCTGATAAAACTGAAGTCACTGCTCCCATCTGGAGCCCCTCATGTACAGAAAATACCTGCTGAAGTTGAACTACCTGGATTAGACTAAGTGGAGGGAGTCACTTTTTAAACAGTTTTAGCCAATGTTCTAGACATTTTGAGATTTTAAAAATAAGGTAGGGGTTTCCTCCTGCTGCTCAAGGATATTTATGCCTTCAAATGCTAAGCATCCAGGTTTTTAGCTCAATAGAAAGATGAAGTGTGTAAATCAGTATGGAAGTTCCCCCAAAAAACTAAAAATGGAACTACATATAGCTGTACACTCTTTAGTATATGCTTGAAGGAATTAAAGTCAGTTTACTATAGGGATAGCTACATACAACATTCATTGTGGCACAATTCATATAGCAAAGATACGGAGCCAGGCTAGGTGTCCATCAGTGGATCACTGGGTGAATGGATACACTGAGATATATACACATGATGGAGTAGTATTATTCAGCTGTAAGGAGGAACAAAATTACACCATTTTCAGTAAAAGGATGGGAACTGGAGAGCATCACATTGAGTGAAATAAGCCAGAATCAGAAGACCAAGTATTACATGTTTTCCCTACAACGTGGAGTCTAAAACAACAAAAATGAAAACCAAGATAACATAAAAATAGACGGCAGGTTATTATCAGACAACACACAAAGAATAAGGAGGAGGGAGTTGTGAGGGAAAATAACTGGAGGTGACATGATCAAAATGTTATATGCATGTATGAAAATGATACAATAAAGGCACATATTTTACAAATATATCACACTAATAAAAGCATTAAAAATAAAAATATGGCATAAAAAACTAGGTGTAGCCATAAGCACTAAAGCTACACTGTTCATTAATGTAATTAACGTTATATAGGCAGATTAAATGCCATTTTATTAAAGTAAAAAGTGACTCACTCAGATTATTCAATGCATGTCTCAGGCACTGGGCACAACACTGGGTTGTGGGGTGAGACATCACATGACCAGTGCCTTGGCTCCTCCAAGGAGCTTCTGGTCGACCCGGAGTAGGCCCAGACTGTAGCACCCAGTGGAGACCAGTTGCTCCTGTCTTCCTGGGTGAAGGCGCTAAGCTAGAGGTGAGCTTGAAAAGCAGGGTGGGTCACCTAATGCAGGCCTGATTGTTAAAAAATTGTGGAGCAAGAAGGCCAAAATGCAAGTGGTTTTCTTCCTTCTGCTTTATACTACAGAAACATCTTGATGACATTCATGAGCATAATGTCCCTAGGCCTTAGCAGATTTGTTAGTGGAAGAAAATTATATCACCACCAAACAGAAAACTTTTTTTTTAAATAGGGTTTTGCTATGTTTCCCAGACTGGCCTTGAACATCTGGGCTTACATGATCCTCCTGCTTCAGCCTCCTGAGTCAGTAAACTTGGGGCACATGCTGTCTCCCCAATACATTTAGTTTTTGATTCTAGTCAATTCAAAGTACACACAACAGTCGAGGAGTGCATTCAGACTGATACACTGTTTACAACAGAGTTTAGAGAAGATGATGGGAATCCATTGGGCCCAAACAATGACCTTCCCCTCATCCTTCACTCTAAGGACCTCCTACTGTTCCTCCACATTTGTATAAGCAACATCTACCTGCCTCTGTACATGAATCACCTCCTCTTATATACCTGCCTCTGATGGCCTATCACAGATCCCTACACACACAAATGTAAAAAAGACATCCTTTCCGACCCCTTCTCAGCATCAGGGATTGTGTTTACTTTTGTGGCTTAATCTTAGGTAGAGCCATAGCAATATTAAACAATTTCTTCAGCTGTCTATCTTTTATTACCTAGGAGGCCTTGCTGATATATGGCAAAGGGACCTTTATGACAAATTTTAGGACATGCCTACCTGTTAAAAGCAACAATAATAATGGCTCTAGGACCATCTCCACGTTTCCTGTTTGTCCTCCTGGAGGTGAGCTGGGTGCTGGACGTTTCTAGAAGATGGCATCATACCGCAGAATACCCCATTCATTTCCAATCCACCTCCCAGCTAAAGTCTAGCTTTGCCACCCTATCAGCTGACCCTTTGTTACAATCAGGAGCAGAAATAAATTTAAAATATAACAAAAGGGACTCTTGCATTGGGTGGGTTGATCAAGAATCCCTGAGACACTTAAATATGTGTACACACACACACACATATACACGAAATAAAATAGATCAAAGCCTGCAAGCAACCCACAACACATTTGCAAACATCCCAAATAGTTTTTGGCCCACAATAGAAAAGTCTTGGTTTTAGTTTGCTATAAAAAATGGGGGACTTAAAAACAGTCAGGAATGTGTGATTCATCATCTTTGTTGTCATTTAAGAACAGTCTTATACACAGAGTTCAAACCAGAGATTTGTAATTTTTCACAACTTCCTCCCTTAGTTATCCCAAGGGAACCCTGTTCCCCTGCCCCACACCTGTCTGAAAAGACAGAGCCCTGCAGCATAATACAACGGTTCTGCAGTTCTTAGCAGACTTCGTGTCCCAAAGTAACCTTGACAGGTGCACACAGCTCTGATGGGAGACAGCTATGGCCCAGGTGCTATTAATCATATGACACATTAGTCACATGGGCGTAACGTGTTTGATACTGGGGGAGGGCACAGGGGACAGGGACAATTAGAAATTGCTGAGTTACCACGTTATGCTTGCAGTAAGAGCCCATTTCTGGACACACACAAGCACCTATGCATAAAATCAACTGTAGGATTTTAACCTCGGCCTGGAAACACAATCACAGGTCTCAGCAAAAGCAGAGCTAGTGAAGATGAATACTTTGAGTTGCCCAATTTACACATCCTGATTATATGCTAATACCTGGCTGCATAGGTAAAATCTTCCCAGAAATATGGGACCATGCCTTTGAGTTCAAAATCAGTGGATAATCCTCACTTACTGCAATATTCCTTCTACTCAGAAGAAATATCAGACATTTTCATCTCCTTCAGAATCAGAAACCATGATTTTTTTTTTTTTTATCTAGATGTGTTGCTGCCCAGCTAAAAGACTTGATATTCATGTTTGTATCCATTTAGTCTTGCAGGTTGGTGTGCTGAGACTAAATTCCTGTTGACATCAAACAAAGGTGTGGTGCATGACCACCTGTGAAGATCTTTGAAAAGGAGGTAAGGTTCTTCTTCCTTTCTCCTTTCTGGAATGCTTATGTAAAGGCAGGTGCTTAACTAGCCATATTGTATATATAGTAAAGATGGAAGAAGAGAAAGACAGAAGATCAGGTCTTGGAGCCTGTGTGGCTGCTGCATCTTCATCCTGTCTGCCTATCTCTCAACCTCTTTCATGTGAGGGAAAAACAAATGTCTTCTTTCGTATGTATGAGGTGTGAGAAAAATGTAGTGAATGTTTCAATTTAAGAAATTACAGTCACATTGTCATTAACTTCCCTCCAAATACTTCCTTTGTTTGAACACACTTATCTCATTGTTCTTGCCATTTTCTGAAGCATTACTGGAAGCCCTTCTTTCTTTTTCCTTTTTTTTTTGGCATATCTTTAGTTGTGCTATCATGGTTGCCTCAATGTCCTGAATCAGTTCAAAGAATTGACCTTTGGTGGCCATTTTGACATTGGGGAAGAGCCAAAAGTCACACGGTGCCACATCCAAAGAATAAGATGGATGAGGACACACTTCAGACTACAGTAAATGTTTTGAATTGATTCAGGACATTGAGGTAGCCATGAAAAGCTACCTATGGAAGTGAATTTGCAGCACTGTTTCAGAAAGTGGAAAGAATGGCAGAATATGTGTGCTCAGAGTGAGTGGGATTTATGGCAATGTGTCTTTTACTGTGACAAACTTTTTCTTCACATATCCATTGTATTGTTTGACCACACCTCGGTATGTATGCATTTTGCTGACACAAAAATGAACCTAATCCTCTTACTAGTAGACCTTCAAGGTCATAATAGATTTCATTTTACAGACAAGGACATTAATAAAGATTAGCTCTGACAAATGTCTCTATTGGGTAGTAGTGTTGGAAAATTCATTACACTTCTGCTTAATCTTTGAAGGAGAGATGATGTTCTATTTTATATGCCTACTAGTATCTGCTAAATGAACACAATTTTGTACTTCACATTTCTGTGAATTTCTGAATCTCTGAGGTCTTCCAATGGGCACACTGAATCTCTAAATCACACGAACTCAAGGAATGAGCTATTAGATCATAAAAATTGTAATGAACAGATGAGAAAATTCTGTTTCCTGCTATGTTCATTAGCTTCCACATGACTTCATCTGCATCTTAGTACATAAATCTATAAAACTACATTAATTTGCACTGATGTTTTGGAAAGCACTAAATGGGCAGTTTCAAACTTGGACAATGAGTCGGTATCTGGAATGTACTGGACTTCAGTATGTGCATGAGATAATCAATGTACTGCAGCCATAAAACACATTCCTAGATGCTTTTACAGAATATTGAAAGATCCTTTGAAACTAATGGATATTACTAAACTGACAAAACTCACTAAATCTAATTAATGAGGACAAATAAATTAAATGTATCTTCCTGGGACTCTATTGTGTCCCTTCCCCACAATCTTTTTTTTTTTTGGTACAGGGGATTGAACTCGGGATCTTGCACTTGTGAGGCAGGCGCCGGAACCACTGAGCTAAATCCCTGGCCCCTTTCCCCACAATCTTTACTTGCACAAATCACTCCACTGCTATTAAACATAGAAGGAAATGTTCCTCCTCTACATACAGTGTTATGGTTTGGATCTTAAATGTCCCCCAAAGGCCTGTATGTTGAAGCTTGGTCCCCAGCCTGTGGTGCTACTGGGAGGTGGAACCTTTAGGAGGTGGAGCCTAGCAGGAGGAAGTGAGGTCATTGGGGGTGTGCCCTTGAAGGGAACACTGGGATCCTGGGCCCTTCTTCTCTTTCTTTAGCTTCCTGGCTGCAATGATGTGAGCAGCTTTCTTCCACCACATGCTCCGGCCATGATGTGCTGCTTCACCACAGGTTTAAAGTGATGGAGCCATTTGACCATGGACTGAAACCTCTGAAATTGTGAGCCAAAATAAATCTTTCCTCCTTTTGATATTTTCAGGTATTTTGTCACAGTGACAGAGAGCTAAGCTAACATAAGCAGTTACTTGAAGTCAGCGGCTTCATCTAAAACTCCTCTCTTCTTGCTCCTAAGTATCCAAAATGAAAATGGTAGCAGAGGGATGGGCATTATGGGGTTCCCTTTCTTTCATTCCACCTCCAGAAATACTTCCATCCACAGGAACAAACCAACCTAATATTCAACATAGGTTCTTTCCTTCCTTCCCTGCCCGTTATGGCCCAAAAGTCTGGAAGAGCAATGTGCACCCTTTCAAATAAAAGGGATGAGCCTCAGAGTGATAGTTCTATACTCTGTGATCCATTTTTACTTCTTTGGTGAATGTCATGGATTTAGGGTCAACCTCCAGCATTTAGACATCCACGCCTTTCCTCAGCCCTTGGAGATATTTAAACAGTGCCAAAGGGCCTAAGGCCCTGGCTACTCCCTGCTCCCTCTGCTAACAGCCAACATCTGCTTAAATGCTAGCTTGCCTTAAAGATAAGTCTCCTTCTCTGTTACAGTCCACTGGGACTGGGCTGACTTGAAACTATCTGCCTTGAAAAATGAATTTTCTCTCAGCCACTGAGGATGACTGCTGTGTATTAATGGCCCTGAAATGCTAAGGGAGGCCAAGCAGTCACCTGTTGTGAGGTCTGCACACTATTCATTAGGAAGCTGAAGGTGCCAGGTATGAGACAGAGACCTCCTGCATCTTACCCATCTGCCTGTTTTGTTTTGTGGTACTGGGAACTGAATACAGGGCCTTCACACTTAGCTATATCCTAATCCCTGATTTTCCTTTGTAGTTTTTAGACAGGATTTCACCAAGGAGCTAAGTTGCCCAGGCTGGGCTCAAATTTGCAATCCTCCTGCCTCAGCCTCCCAGTGTGTACCACCACACCCAGCTCAGTCTGCCAGTTTTAGAAGTAGAAAGAATGCCGGTGGGAGTGATAATGGAGTGACTGCCTTTCAGAGCATGGCCATATATGTCACAATCGGATTTGCTCCTCCCAGAATTCTGCATGAAGAGGGGATCGATCGTGAACATCTTGAAAGTCCAGAGGAAGAGGAAAATCCTCAGGAGACCCAGATAGAGCTCCCAGCAGGGCTGTGCCCTTCCTTGGCCCCTAGGTACAGAGGAGGTGTCTTCTACATAGACCCTTGTGCATATTTTGGAACGTCTTCATTTGGGTCTCCTATTTTCTTCACTAGTAACAACCAAAGACCTGAGGGTACAGATGTGTTACAGAGCAGAAGCCACTAAAATTGTTTTCTTTTTGCTTTTATGAAGTTTCAGAGAGAACAGAAGAAAAACAAAGCCATGTAATGAAAGGAACTGATAAATGTAATCTTAAAAAAGTTGGGAGAACTATAAGAAATAACTTTTTCCCTAGGTGTCTGGGTTATCTTCAAAACTAGTATTTCTAATGTGAAAGTAAAATGTTTTTTTCTGATATAAAATAAAATGCACTCATATTTGGAATTATAGGAAACTTAAAAGTATAAAATTGCTCTCAATTCCATAAAATATACCCTTAGATGAGTGATGGCAAACCTTTTAGAACTTTCAATGATACAAACAGCTTGCTGTGGTGTGTGTCATACATTCTCCTCCATTGCTCTAGATGTCATATGTATTTAATTTGTATTTATCTTTATTTATACTCCCAACAACCTGATATACCCACTATTTATTGTTTATTCCATGGTACTGCAGACTGAATCCAGGACCTTCACACAGAAATACATTCCTAGTCCATTTCTTCTGACTTCAATAAATATAAAATATAAATTTAAATATGATTTATAAAAATACATTTTTCTTTTAAAGTTCACAAATATTTTATGTAATTACAAAATCAGAAAGTTAAATATATAATTTTGAATTTTGCTTTCACATTGTAACTAGATCGGTAAGACAGAATCAACTATTTTTTAAACCAGTTAGAGGAAGGATAAAATAGAACTAGAAAAACAGCACACTGTCAAATCCAAAAGTATTTGGCAAGTGGTAAATAATTTTGACATATAAATTAATTGAGCCAAATCTTAAATCAGTTAGGAAATGCTGAGTCCCAAAGAGCTGAAACCACCCTAGGAGCAAGGCTCTGGTAGGAGGTGGTGGGTGACAGAGACCCTGTTGCTGGGAGCTTTCATCCTCCAGACTCAGAAGTGAGGGGCCTGCAGCAAAGTACAGGGGAATGGGGCTCAGTCTGCTTTCACACGAAATCATTTCTGCAAAGCAAAATAATTTTGTATACACCATGCTCTAAGAATCACATATGATTTACTTATAGGAAGCAACAATCTTAAAAATGATCAAGAGGCAAGGGCAGGGAAAAGGGGGGCGGGGAGGCAGGGAGGGAGAGGAAGGGAAGGGAATGGAAAAAAAAAAAGAATTGAGATGTATTATGTGTATGCACCAACTCCCCACGAGGGATGTAATCATTATGTGCTGCAAACAGGTACTAATAAAAATTTTAAAAAATTAGTATCTGATCCAATACCTATATATACTAAATATGAGCTAATATGAGATAAAAACGATGTAATTCCATTTCTCTGTTGTATCTTTCTATAATCAGATTGGACTTTCCCAGCATGCCAAGGAATGATTTATTATGTCATATCATAAACTTATCATCTTCATGGGTATTAATATCTTTAATTAATAATAGTTCCCATTTCAGCTAGCTGGGTGAGAAGACACATGATAGCTAAAGATTTATAAGAGGCTGATGTACTTCTAAAAAAAATAAAACCAATATTTGAAATGAATTTAAATGTTTTAGTTTATCGCCAAGTGTCTAAAGAGGTACAGAAATTTGCATTATTTCTTTGACTTCCTTCTCTTATGTGATATTATAAAATATCTGTAATATAGTAACTACGACTAGATTCAAGGCAGATATGAGGCTAGATGCCAGTCATCTTTATATGATATGTTCAATACGCATTTTTCAAGTCCACTTCTCCTCTCTAAAACTTGAAGGAATACTGAGAAAATAGAAAGTTAAGCATCTATGTGAATTCCAGGAAGGAGGCTATGCCCAGGAAGGAAGGTTGACAGACCAAAGAGAAAGGAAAAGGCCGATCAGAAGAAGCAGGCAATAAGTATGAAGAGAAAGAACATGAAAAAGAAGTTGGGAGAGAACAGGAGAGAGACTCATGGGAGTTAACAGAGGCATGCACTTAGAAGAAACTGCAAACTGAGTTGAGGACTCCAACACAGAAATGCAATATTGGCTCCATTTGGTTGCTTACACACTTAGTCCTATGAAGTGAATTCCATTTGCAATCAGCTGGCAGTAATTGTCACTTCTGAAATGCTGAGGGCTCATGGATGCAACCCATCAACTCCTTTATGGTAGTACTGATGGTTTGGATGCGTCACAATGTGATTGTAGCACAGGAGAGACTGTACAGACAGGAACTTTATGTGATAGAAAGGGGACAGAGCAGGAGGATACGAGGCTGCACAAGAAGCCCAAGTTGAAGCACAAGGGTCCTACAGGTCCTCCTGTAGCAACCCCACTAAGCAGAGTCAGGGCATGTCCTCGTCCACACATCCTGAGTACCTCTCTGTTCAAGGCTCCTTCTATTCCTGGAAGTTTGCAATTGTTAACTGTATTTTTATATTTGTGAGGGCTTGATGATGCAATTTTTACTTATCAAGGCTCTGCCCACCACCAGTGATCTGAAACTTCTGGCCTGTACTTTAGTTTCTCTGTGTATGAGATTTTTAGTTACTTTTCTATCTGCTTCATAAATATGTTAATGTGTATGGTCAAAAGGCAATTACAAGCCATTGCCAGGTGAAAGATAAGTAGCATAGATCTTTTGATCTGCCCACCCATGGTTCTGAGCGAAGGGATGTGGGCCATTCCTGGACGTGTGGCAGCCTACTCTCTGTCAGGTAATAGCATCATGCTCAGAATAGACCTGTTTAGTCTCTCCACTGCTACATGAACTTTGTAGCATTTCGCCCATTGCTAGTAACAACCTGGCTACAGATCCTTTCTTTTCAGCAAAAGACTGATAAACTAGACACGTTACATGTAGAAAACATTGCCGACTGTTCAAAACCCAAATTTCTTAGCACCTGCTCTATACTTACAATTGTACCTGAATGTCCCTGCTAAAAAAAAGAGCTTACAATCACTTGTTAAAAAAATCTCATTCATTTAAAAAACAATAGGGAAAAGACCATATTCAGTTAAGTGCAAAATTGGAGAGTACGCTCAATTAGCAAGCTAGATGGTTTATTAGAAACAAAAGTAGCTTAATAACTTTTCTTACCAGAAAACCATAGTTCAAGCCTACTTAAACATCACATCTGGCTTCCCACAACTGATTAACCTGAAAATGGTTTAGCACAACACTAATCCTTTAATTTAACAATCTATAAATGCCTTACATAACAAGTTCCAGAGAGCCCTTTCTTGGATTCATAATGATGAGCCATGTCTACCACTCAACCCAGTGCTCATTTTAATGAGCACCTCTGGACCTTAATGAAATAGCTTAGGTCCAAGTGTGCATCAATTAAAGAAGAGATGTCTCAAAAGGTATAAATGGTGATGGATCATCAATGGCCTGCTACCCTGGGTCGCAGTGCCGTCAGAGCGCCTATGGGCTTGTGAGATCTGCTTGGTAAGCGTACCTCCAAATCAGTCTGACAGGCACAGAGCTAAGCTGGGGCCTGGCAGGAAAGGAGGAAATCCTAGCACAAAAGCATTACAGGAACGCTACTGAAGAAGGGCCGAGAGCAGAGAAGTACATCTGAGCAACATGCGAGGTGTGACTGAAAAATATCCCGTGTAATTAAAAAATTTTTTATTATAATAAAATACACCTTGCCTTCAATTCCCCTCAATATCCTACTCACTTCAAACACACGTATCCCATTGTTCTTGCCATTTTTGGAAGCGGTTCTGGAAATCCTCTTTCATGGGTGTCTTCAGTTGCACCAAAGTGGCTGCCTTGATGTCCTGAATTGATTCAAGATGTCTAGCTTTCATGATTGTTTTGACTTTGGGGAAGAGCCAGAAGCCACGTGGTGTCACATCTGGTGAATTATGTGGATGAGGACCCCTGTCATGTTTTTATGAGCCTGCTTTTCCACTGGATGGGACTCAGTGGCAGCAGTCACTGTATTTCTGATCATATCTTATAAAGAGACTCACCAAAGAGGTGATATATTTCCAAGGACTTTTAAAAGGAGGGCATGGTGCTAACCTGAGCCCAATCATGTCTAATTCTGTAGCAGTGCAAAGAAAAATTGGCAACCGAGGCCTGCTAGCTTCACTTCAGAAGGACTCAGCTTGGGTTGGCAGGGAAAAGATGCCCCTCACACACACCCTACAACTCTGGGTGCAGAGAATGGGAAAGGTAATGGCTGGATAAAGATGCCCACAGCTTGACCTTCTAAACAAAAGATTCCTTTCCAAACACAAATAGTTAACGTGGCCTGGGAATATAGCTTACTGACAGAGTACATGTTAGCAGTTATAAGGCCTTGAGTTCCATCCCCAGCATTGGAAAACAAATAAACTTTAAGTACAGCTCTGTTAACTTAGAGTGCAAATCAACTACCTTCAGGAAAAGTGTCTATGGGCAAACAGCTGTCCACAACGCTGTCATTCCTTGATCGCCTACAGATGTTAATGCACATCTTACCCTCCCCGTGTCCCTGTACACCCGATTGCAAAAATCAGGAAATTAAAATAATTCTTCCTTACTTGTTCTCTTATGCTGATGATCACACTAGTTTGTAGGGATTCGGACAGAGCATTTGACTGCATTCTGGAGCAGGATGAAGGCTGAGCAGCACCAACTCCTTCTCATTTGTAAATAGGAGCCGGTTTAATTTCATCTGGCCATCAAGTTTGTATCTTTGTCTTTTCCTACCTATTGCCTCCTCTGAAATGAACTTCAGGGCTCTAACCTCAATTTAGCTGTCTTTGCCCACCTAAATTGCTTTGAGAATCAGAAGAGTCCAAGTTATTTGCTTTGGAAGATGAACTTCCTATGAAAGAAAGGCCTGTGGTCACTGTATTACCTTTTACCATAAGAAGAGCAAGAAGACAGCGTAGGGCAGGTGAGGGGAGCCTGAAAATAACCGGCTGTGTGTTCAGTTAGCTATGGGTCTTCCACCAGGCCTGTCCTTCAGAAGCGTGTGCCCTTTGGTAGAGCCGTGAACCCCAGGCGCGGGTGGTCCCCACCCCCACGACCCTGCTACCTCGGGGCGCCACATGGCACACTAATCACACACTTATTATTAAATTTTCTGCATGGTTACATAAGCCTACAAAAGAGGAACATGTAAATGATTCAAGAAGATATTTTTCACATGGTTCTCATGAAATCTTTAATATCTCAAGACTTAGGAAAGAGCCCTCCTGGCAAGGTACAATCAATTTTCATGCTTCATTAGGAAAAAAGTCCTTTCAGTAATGTTGTGGAAATGGCTATAGGCCAAAGAGGGGAAAATTACACTCTGCACTGAATCAAACCCCAAGGCACTTTGGACTAAATCCTTTTTTCATGCCCGAGGCAGATCTAAAACAAGAATAAATGCTCTCTTGGAGTTGGTGGGGAGTGTACTGGACTAGCCTGTGTACCCCCAGGGTTACGCCTAATCCTGCAGAACTCTCTCTCAGTCAGTTCAGGGATTTTTTTTTCTCCCCTTGTAGTATTGAGGATTTGACCCAAGGACTAAGCTACATCTCCAGCCCATTTTTAGAATTTTGAAACAGGGTCTTGCTAAGTTGCCTGAGCTAGGCTTGAACATGTGATCTTCCTGCCTCATCCTCCCAGAGTACTGGGATTACAGGCATGCACCACCCTGCCTGGCAGTTTTATGAATTTGGACAGACTGTAGCTGAAACCAACAATCACCCCCCGGCAAACACTGCAGATGATATGGAGGAAACACATTGGTATGTGGAGGGAGGAAGGAGGGAAAGAGAGAAAAAGACTAGAGACAGGCCACACACACGGAGTTTCTTCAAAGGCCAAAGCACATCATGCCAGCTTCCTAGTTTCCATTTAATTAAAAAACTATAGCTTTTAAATACACAGCTTCTCCTTTATTAAGAACCAAGAATACCAAACTGTTTTAAGATACCATTTACATGTTTTCTGACACTTAAATGGTTGACAAACTCTCAATTCCCTGAAAAAAAAAAGTCGACACAAAATTATACCTTGTGGTCTCAAAAAAAAAAAAACAAAAACCTGCTCTTAGAATTGTTCAAATTAAAAGCATTGTCATACTGCTGTCACATTTGCTCAAGGAAGTTACTGTGGCCTGGTGACATTCTCAAATGG